ATTGAAGCCATGTCCAGTGTTAGGTTTTGGCCCTACATCTAGAATTCACCGTGGCCTCAGTTTCCCACCCTTTAATGTGGGGGTGTTGCCCTGTGCTTGTATGGAGCTTTAGATCTCTCTCCCACCTTCCTTTGCTCCCCAGTTCTTGAGAGCCTCGCAGCTTATTTTCACCTGACTGTCAGTCCCCTGATCCGATCATACTATTCTTCTTAAGTTGCTTATTGGCTCCCGGCATCCGTCTTCCTTCCTCCTCTGCCTGGCGTTCTGTGTGTTCCTCAGCTCATAGCTACAGCAGCCATGCTCAGCAGCACTGTGCCAGGCCTACCCCACCACTGCCCTATGTGAGCAGTGACTGCCACGTCTGTTCTCATGTCTCTAACCCTGCTCTCTCCTGCTTCATGAACATAGCTCATGCAAAAGTAAGTTCTTGTGTCTATTTATAATTTTCAGTAACTTCTACAAATAGACCTTTGCTGTAATTTATTTACACGCATCTCTGATGCTAAGTTTTATTATAACATGACCTTGCCCATCTTTTACTCTGCAGGCCAGTACAGATGACGGCTTTGTGTATAACCTGGATGCACGTTCAGATAAGCCAATCTTTACACTCAATGCTCACAACGATGAGATCTCTGGTGAGCAACAGTGATGTTTCCTGTTTATGTGGATGACAAAATGAATCTAAATGTCAGGCAGTAGGTCCTGAACGAATTGTGTCTTCCAGGTCTTGATCTGAGCAGTCAGGTCAAGGGCTGCCTCGTGACTGCTTCAGCAGACAGATACGTGAAGATCTGGGACATCCTAGGGGACAAGCCAAGCCTCATTCACTCTAGAGACATGAAGATGGTGAGCATCTTCCTGACAGTTTTGTTGTGTTTCTGACCTGTTTGCTTGTCCTTTCCCGGCAACTGCTGCAGTCGATGATATGCTGAGTTAATTTTGAGATAGTCTTGGTGGGAGTTTCTAACTTAGAGACTTTTAAAGAATTTAGTTACTATGGGACCTCTTTTCCTGTTCACAAACTTAAGTCACGTGATAGGGTTGAGAAGAACGTAAGGAGGTGGCCACAGCTCATTCTCAACTCAGGAAACCTCTGAACTCTGGGCACTGAAACTATTGGTGGCTCTTCATTTACTACATTGAAGTTGATTTTATATGTATGTGTAACCCAAATATTTCGAATAAGTAGTAGTGAGTACTTGCTCTGCGGGAACATTGAGTTACATGAGTAACATTGGCAGTACAGTGGAACATCAACAGCTGTTAAAAACCGTGTGTCTATTCACTTATTATTGAAAGGCAGGCCTGACGCTTCCTAGTTTCAGCCCAAGCTTATATATAAGCAACTACTTGTTCCAGTAACTATCCAGAGTAACAAATGTTATCTCACTGAAGGGTTTTATATTCTTCTCATTCATACTTCCAATAATACATATTTCTGATGTCTAGTAGTAAAAATGAAAATGTTAAAAGTTTACTAATAAATTAAGGGGAAATGAAATGTTGAAAGTTTACTAGTAAGTTAAAGTGGGGGCTGGAGAGATGGCACTTAACTGCCAAGCCGGATGACCACATCTTAAAAGGAAAGAACCAGCCCCTGCAAGTTGTCCTCTGACCACACATGCCCACCACCAACACATAAGATAGCTAATGTTTGCCAGTGATTTGAGGCTGAGTATACAGCTCTGTGGAAGAGTACCTGCCTAGAAACCCCTGATCCCCAACCTGCACACATGCAGAAAGATCATATAAGAAAAAAGACTTCATAGTGACCTCAGATATCAGTTATTGTTTGTAAAGATGAATAAAGCTTATAGGTATACACAGCAAATTAGGCAGGCAATTCCTAATGAAAGAATGAGACCTGCATAGTGAAATCATGACCATTTTCATGGTGCAGCCATAATGCAGTTCTTATCTAGCTTTGAGTGACAGACCAAACCTATCCTTAGAGTAGCAGTAGGGGCCTACCAGTTCCAACTCTGCAAGGATAGGAATCTCTGACTTTCAGTTCTTCTCTCCCCAGGGAGTTCTCTTTTGTTCTTCATGTTGTCCTGATTTGCCATTTGTTTATGCCTTTGGAGGTCAGAAAGAAGGGCTTCGAGTTTGGGACATAAGCACTGTCTCTTCAGGTAAGACCCTTTTTCCGAAAGCCTAAGGATGAAGCACAGGGTGGGAATTTAATGTGTTGTGTGGATGCAAAGGCATGTCCAGTGTACAGCCTGTAGTTCCTACTTCAGAAATGGTAAGTCCATCTTCACACTTGAAGTGCAAATTCTTTTTTGAATATCTTAAAATGGAAAAGCTGGGCTGGAGAGATGGCTCAGAGGTTAAGAGCACTGACTGCTCTTCCAGAGGTCCTGAGTTCAATTCCCAGCAACCACATGGTGGCTCATAACCATCCATTATGAGATCTGGTGTCCTCTTGTGGTGTGCAGATATACATGGAAGCAGAATGTTGTATGCATAATAAATAAATAAAATCTCAAAAAAAAAAATGGAAAAGCTTCCTGAGAAAGCTGGAAGGAAATGTAGCAGTCTCAAGGAAAAGCCTTCTTCCTTCCCAGGTGCCAGAGTGCATGCATGTGCTCATCCCCAACTACTTTCTACAAGCGCCTCCCCCCCCAGAATAGTGATAACTTACTGTCTTCAGGTTGTCTAGTGTCCTGTAGGCAGTATGTCTCACTAAATTCTCCCTCCCATGATGAGAAAGATCCTAAGATTTGTTGCTGATCTGAGTTTATAGATAGGAAATATGTATAGATTATATGTGTGGACATGATAGGAAATATGTATAGATTATATATGTGTGGACATGATACAGAGGGAAAAAATCTGTAGCAGAGCCATGTTCCAAGGCAGATTTAGAAAGCTCTAGCACAAGCCTGAGAAATACAAAACAATGAAGATTCGCTCACTTGGTACATTGGTAGGCTTATTAAGTTGGCTTCTTTCTCACTTAGCATTAATGTTATTTTCTAAGTTTTCACCTCACAACAGAACTTTATTGTTTTATGCTCTAGTCCTTTATAGTGTAGACTCTTACCTCCTTATCTCATGGTTCCTTTTAGTGAATGAAGCATTTGGAAGACGGGAGAGACTGGTTATTGGCAGCACAAAAGGCTTGTCTGGTAGTGGCCCTTGCGGGAGTGGAAGCCCACAGACACCAATGGAGTCCTGACAAAGTTCAATCTCCTGGGATGTTTATATGAACTCGGGGTTTTAAAAGCTGGCCTAAGAATGTTCCTTGTGTAGCTGCAACCATACACTGATGGAGACAAAAGTCAGTTCCTATGGCCACTCCTCTCTGTTGGTTCGGTGGCAGTCCACAGCCTTTGTGTCTGCCTTCACCTGGGTATTGCACAGTTCTTGCATTTCTTGAAGATAAAAATGTTTTTAAAAAATGATGCCTGAAACATGCCGTCTGACCTAGAACTGTAGATTTATAAAATAGGGTAACTTAAGTTTTGGAGACTAGGTCTTGCTGTGTTAGCCAGGCTGGTATGGTGGTTCATTATTCTCCCAGCACTGGGGAGAAGGGAGATTCCTGGGGTTCGAGGGCCGGCCAGCCTGACCTGCTCAGGGATCCACTTGTCTCCATCTTCCCAGGCTGGGATTACAATATACATGGTAGGCTCTAGAATTGAACTCAGGCCCGTGTGCTTGCAAAGTAAGCACGTTACTGGGCAGTCTCCCTAGCCCATTTTGTTTTTAAAATGTGATTCCTAAAAAGTTACTAAATGGACAACAAACTGTCAAAAGTAATACGGTTCCAGAAGATTCTCCCTCTAGTTACTTCATAACCTCTTAAACTTGTCAAGCTTATAAAGCCCTCTGGACTTAAAGATATAAATTTAAGAACTGTAGCTGGGTGGTGGTGGCTCACGTCTTTAATCCCAGCATTCGGGAAGCAGAGGCAGGTGGATCTCTGTGCGTTCCGGGACAGCCTGATCCACAGAGTGAGTTCCATGACAGCCAGGGCTGTTACACAGAGAAACCCTGTGGGGCAGGGCGAGGGGGGGGATATCGTACACTGTTCCATTTATTTCACTTAGCCTCATAGGACAACTTTCCACTCTTTCAATGAACATCCATTCTTTCAGACTTCACCAATGGCTAAATTGATTTCTACATTTCATGATGTTAATATTTAAAGTGAATAAGACATCCTTTTATTTTGATGTAATACAGTAATACAATCCATTCGTCATTAAGAGTCCCCTCACTTATGTTCAGTATTTTCAGAATGCTGGGCATTGCTCAAGTCTCATCAGAATTTGCATGATCGTTACAAACTTCCAAAATGAGAATAGAACCACCAAGTTAGACGTGTTTACCACACGTCTGTGTGACAGACAATGGGGAAAGTGCAGGATGCAGAACGAGGTCTGGCTGGAGTCCAATCCTGTGTCTTGAAAACTACCCTCACTCCTGTCACGCTTGGGTAAGAGCTGTTACTGTGAAGATGAAATTAACGTGGGGTTAGGCGTAACATACTTACCCATCTTAGTAATTGCTTTGGCTTTGAGCTTCAACTTAAGTTTCCTGATTCAAGATGTTGTCCTGTATTTCTCACATATGACTTGATGTTCCAGACCCAATGTGTTCGTTCTCAAAGCCCATTTGTCTTACTAAGCCCGGCTTAGGGTGCACTTTACTCCTCTTCTGATAGGACCTTTAAACCCCTGCTCCTGAACTTTAACACATGCCTGTGTAGTTAATGACAATGGTCCCATAGACTATAATGGGTTGGAAAATCTCTACTCTTCCACACTCCTGGAGGTATGGTTAAGAGTTTCTAGAACACTGGCAGTTAGTTATCTAGAGGCTGAGTGAAGGAAACTCTCTCTTGCCTTACAGGCATCCAGCATGTTCCTTCTGTATGATTCCTTTCCCAAACTTAGGTATTCCTGACAGTTAACCAATCACTGCATTGAGGCCCAACTTGAGAACCTCATTTTAACTTCAACTAAATGTTAAAGAGTTTATAACACAAATAGGAAAGACAGTTTAATCCATATAAACACTGGCTGTGTATATACAGAGAGGTCATCCTTAGGAGGCAGGTTGATGGGATGTAAGATCGTATAACTGGCAGATTGAAAGCAGCTGGGATACTGTTTCTATGTAAAAAGAACAGGTAAAAGAACACTTATTGCCTATTTTGTACACAGGTCATTGTCTAAAAAGGCTGGTAAGACCCAGGCTATGACATGCTGCCTCTAATGTCACTCTGAACCTCAGCTCAGCACACATAAAAGTATGAGCAACTCACTTAAGGAACCACCAAGCATTAAAAAAAAAAAAAAAAAAAAAAAAAATCAAGGCATCATGGATGTTTCTAGGCTTTAGCCCATTAAAATTATTCTAACTTCCAGGGCTTAGGACTTCCTGGGTTTTTATTATGTATGCAATTTATCTCAGGATGTTTATCAACTTGAAAAAAAAAAAAATCAGTGACACCTAAGGGCTCACTAGGTTGTATAATTAGGCTAAGGTCCAAACTGTCATCCTGCAGTAAATCCCAGAGAACTTTCAGCTGGGTCCAGAGCCCACATTTACTGCCTGTCCGTGTAGCCACTGACCCAGCAGCAATAGTGGACAAGACCTCGTGCAGAGAACTCTTTAAGTTCTGTCAAAAGACAGTGCCACTTAAACTCAGGAGGTTAAATGTAGAAGCAACACTAAACAATACACCCACATAGCAAGGGTTTCCTGCCTTTCCTCTTGCTTTGGGGCAATAAAGGAGTTTAATCACACGTATGCTCCTGAAAAGGGGGACAAATTACTTTGATCGCTTATGGTGATGAGCGAGGCTTTATGCCACCCATAGCCACCCACAGCACCTGCCTTCAGTTGTAGACCTGCTAGTTTCCAAGAGGACAATAAAGGCCCTGCCCTAAGATGATGGCAGGAGAGGCTACAACTCCCAGTAGTGTACTTCATTTAAGCACCCTTACACAGAAACAATTAGGAAGCTTGATTGTCTTTTAACCTTTGAGTCCTTCCTCCACAAAAGATTGAGAAATTTCATATTTTCATTAAAAAAATTTTAATTCTTCCTAAAGGAATACAGATTTGAATGACAGACATTCACCCCATAAATACATTAGCAGCAAAACCTTCCCAGCAGAGTCCTTCCTCTACTCAAGTCAAGGAAGGTTGTACTCTTGAGCAGGAAGACATGTTCTATCAATCCTGTCAACTTCAGATGTTTCTGCTTCTTGCCAAAAGCTGGCTATGCCTGCTCACAGGGCCCTGAAAACAGACCCAAATGGTGACACTGATAGCCTCTGTCTTCCAGATCCTTTGCTATCCTCTACACTTAGCTGGTGAGGACCTTTAGCAAGGAAGACAACTGGGAAAGCATAACTGAAACCCACCAATGCATTTGGATCTACATGTTGCTTTCAGGCAGCAACATTTTAATGGTTTTCATAAAGTAAACCTACTTAAAAGCTCATTGCCTTCCTCCCTCCTGTAGGCTGAAGTACAGTCTTGTCAGGGAAGTCCATGTACACTTGCTGACAGGAGACTACGCAGCAGGCATTATTTGGACACTGTTAGTTTCAGGTACTCTCTGAATGATGGAAAGGCTTTCCTGAAGACAGACATGTCTAGACTGCAAAGCCGTGTGTGTATACATAACCAGGTTAGCGACTGGCTTCCATTGAAGGTGCTTTTCTGGGCCTTTTCCTCTACCAGTCACTGTCCTCTGACCTATGACTGCTTCTTTACCTGCCCCCTCAACACCTGCTGTGATGGGGAAACAGTATCTTAACTCTCAGTGGCCAGAAGATATTACTTTCTGTCTTTGTTTTTTTTATAATGAATTAGTCACTGAATACTGGCACTGCTGTGCTGCAATTCTCTCTGTGAAATGCATACCTTACAGTGCATAATATGTGGTCAACAGTGGGGATGGCTGGGGTCAAGTCACATTGGCTGGAGGGGAAAAAAAATGGAACAATGTGAGATAAACCTGGTTTGTATGAAGAAAAGGCCACGTTGACTCAGGTATAAACACATCTCCCAAATTACTATATAAGTAAAGAACAGGTATCAGAGGCTGGCCCTTTCCTCTCCAACCATTACTTAAAAGTAAGACAGACACATGCCTTATCTCCAGTCCATCTCAAAGAATCCATTTGGATATTCTTCAGTAAGTGCTTTAGCTATTCCCGCTCAGTCCACTTTTGACAGTGGGCTGGAAAGATCAAGAAGCATTCCACATCAAAACCTCTGCAGTTGAGTTGGTTTTGTGTTTTCCCAATGCATGGCCCATCCAAAGCAGTTTTATTTGTGTGTGGAGAGAGACTCATCCGCTGAGTAAACAGCACTGCTCATCCTACAGTCGTCTGTCCTCATGGAGTCTGTGAGATCATCATCAGAGTCGTCGTCCTCCTCCTCCTGTGCTGAGGAACTGGAGGTGGGCCCTTTGCAGGTCTTCAGGTGGCGAGTGAGATGGTACTTGGTTAGATAAGCCTTTGTACATTTCTCACAGACATAATCTCGTTTTCCTTCATGAGAATTAAGATGCTTCTTCAAGTGGTTTGTTCTCAAGAACAGTTTATCACACTTCGGACACTTGATCTGGCGTTCTCTGAGGAACACAAGAACATATGCTTTGGGGTTGTAAAGGAGAAGCCCCACACCCTCCCTCATCGAGACCATCTTTGTAGGAACTTTTAGAACCAGCTGCTTTCCCTTCCTACAATACTATGCAAACAGGACCATCCAGTATAGATTTCTTTCACTTTATATGAAGCCTGTGAAATTCACACAAGTTGTACAAATATCTATAGTTTGTTCCTTTCCATTAATATGAAGTATTTACAAACAGTCTGTAAATGGCTTTTCTTGTTCTTAGTGAATATTCTGGTGGCTTTCAGTTTTATATTTTCACAAGCAAGACTCCATGAACATTTCTCTATTTTTATGTTTTTCTGATATACTAAGGGGATATATACAGGAGAAATATACTTGGGTCAAGAGATGCACCTATCTTCAAGGTCAAAGAAGATGACAGCTCTGCTGTTTTCTGCACACCAACCAAGCACTCTATCACAAAACTACAGCTATAGCCCCTAAACAGATTATATCAAGAATACTGTGTCACTTCTAGAGGACCAAACTTGAAAATAACCAACAGGATTAGCTGCAGAAACTAGAGACACGTGCCTTGATAAAAAGAGCTATAGGGATACATGACAAGGAACCATAGATTACATCAAACGCTGTTGCTTTATAGAACTATTAGGGCCTGGGGATATAGCTCAGTGACAGAATACTTGCCTAGCATGTGGAGGACAGTAGTTTTGATTCATAGCACACTGTTTAAACCTTGACAAGGACAGATGCTAGAATGAAAACAAAGGCAAATAGAAGCTCAACTGAAACAGTATTTCCCCACAAAATAACACTGACTGTGGGGTAATTCAAAAAGAAATAACATCCCTATCTGCCAGAGACATACGGAAAATTAGTATATCCTATGGTAGGCTCATTCTTCGAAGTGCCCAATTAGAGAACTTCCATGACCCCAGAGAGCTTGAAAGCCCTCACACTATACAATTTCTATTTTACAACTAGTCTAATTTTCCAAAATTTCGCACTAGCAATGAAACTAATGAAGACTTTGTTGTAAAAAAAAAAAAAAAAAAAAAAATCCTTATAGGGCCAGCAAGATGACTCAGAAAGTAGGGCATTTGCCTGAAGCCTGACAACTTGAATTAAATCCCTAAGACCCACATGGAAGAAGGGGAGAATCCACAAGTTGTCCTCTGATCCCCAAATGAATGAATTAATGAATAGAAAAGTCCCTTTGAGAACTGTAGTGTAGATCCTGGCTCAGCTGTGAAGTGTTTCTGGTTATACTGTGATAGAGAGCAGACAAAAGAGCTAAAACCCAAAAGATTCTTTAGAATATAAAGTTTACAGTGAATTCTCCCTAACACTTGCTGAAAGCTTAGGACAACAAAAATCATAATCATGTTACATCTGTCTACTACCATTAGGACTAATTCAGGAGCGACCATTTCTTACACTGAGATTCAGAAAAACATTCCTAGGCAATCTCCTGCCTGGCAGCCCTCCAAACCCCACACCCCTTGTATTACCCTCTGTCCATCTGATACCGTATAACCTTTAAAAGGCTGTCACCAAGCATGACACCCTTTCCGTAAAGTCCCTCGGTGTTTGTACAACTACATATCTAAAACTATTATTGAGGAACTGAACTCTTAAAAAGTGTTACATTATTTCTCTATTAACCACAACTTCAACCTCACACCCTCAGCACAGAACTGCCCAGTAGGCAGTGGGTAGGGAGCCAGATCTGTCACAGCTCACCATCATTCTGAGAATGAAATCTGATTTCCTTGGTAGACCTTCAACAGTGAAGTAGCTCAGCTAGTAGATGCCTGCCTAGCATCTAGAGCCTGTACTGGATCCCCAGCAGTGCACAAACATCGCATGATTGTGATCACAGCACTAATCTTATTAGTATCCCGAACTACATGGTTGAATTCAAGACTAGCCAGGGATACATGAGATCTTATGTCAAAACAGAGATTATTCATGGTACAGGGTCTGCCTCTCACTACTCTCCAAAGTACTCTGTTTTCTAACAAATAAACACGTTTACAGCACTCAGGAGGTACAGGCAGGCAGATCTCTGTGAGTTCCAGGTCAGGGCTACACAGAGAAACCCTGTCTCAAAAAAGCAAAAAAAAAAAAAAAAAAAAAAAAAAAAAAAAAATTTAAAACAAATAAATTCAGTGTTCTCTGCTTCTGTGTTTCTGCCCATGCTATTTTCACACCCATGTCACCATCCAGAATAGAGTATCATTCATTCTCAATCCTTATCCTATTCCATTTTCTTAATCCTAACTGACCTTAAGACTAAACTACGATGGTATGGCCAGATCCTCCAGGTTGGCTTAAGTGCCCCTCTTCAGTAATGGGTATTGGACGCCACCTTAAAACAAAACAAGTGCTCTACTACTTAGCTGTATTGCCAAACCTTTAAGATTTGTTTTTATTTTACGTGTACAAATGTTTTGCCTGCCTGGTGCCCAGAGGCCAGAAGAACATGCTGGATCCCCTGGAATTGGAATTATGGATGCCTCCATGTGGAACCTTGGAATAAAATGCAATTTTCTTTCTGCAAGAGCAGTCAGCACTCATAACCACTGAGCCACTTCTCCAGCACCCCTTTATTTTTGTTCTGACTGGCCTCTAATTCACAATCCGCCTGCCTGCCTCAGTCTCCCGAATGGACAAGATTATACATAGGAGTATACTGCTGTATCAGGCTAAAGTGCTACATTTTTATATGGTCTTCAACACCCTTTGCAACACAGCATGAGTTCCCAAACTTGGGCTCTTTGAGGGTAAGACAATGTCTTTCATCTCTGCATCTCTATCCCATAGAACAACATTGAGCATCAAGGGATCATTTAAAAACTTACTGATAAGGAAATGATTTTTTAAAAAACTGGATAAAAACTGACACAAAATGTGTAAAAATAAGATCAGAAACAGGGAAGTGAAATCTTTCACAAAAATACCCAAGCACTGCTTGGCTTTCTGGAACACAGAGGAGGCAAAGCCTGTTCAAGGACAAGGAACAGCTTGCTCAGCATCATGGCAGGTGCAGGATGGCACACCACCTGCAGGCAGCATCCTCATTGCAGGATACTTACTGTGTGTGGATAAGCACATGTTGTTTGAGGTCCTGTCTCCGCATGAACAGCTTGTCACAGTAATCACATTTGAGATTCTTCTCGCCCGTATGGATGACCATGTGTGACTCCAGGTGAGCCTTCTGGGTGAAAGACTTGTCACACAAAGTACACCTATAATTCTTCTGACCTGCAAATTAACCCAAGACATCACACTGAGAATAAAACAACTACATATTCTCAGACAAGCAGGCATATTTGGAGAAGCAGCCCAAGCAAGAATCCAGCAGAACTAACTCATGTCTGGCACTTTATTCTCTATGCTATCTACCTAAAAAGCCTAAGCCATTCTATTTATAACCTAAACTGAAGCTAGCAAAGCCAGTGAGTATGACCTTCTAAGACCTCTTATCTGAAAGTTCATACATGTTTGCAGCCAGCACATGATACTAACTTTAAAGAAGAAAAAATTATAGTATCAGTGCCTACCAAATTTAAAAGAACTCGGGGTTAGCAATATAACAGTTGACAGAGTGCCTGCCTAGCATACCTAAAACCCTGAATTCAATTTCCAGCACCACATTACCCAGGTATGGTGGTGCATACTTCAGAGCCCAACATCTGGGAAGTGGATACAGGAGGGTCAGAAAGTCAAGGCAGCAGAGGCCCAACCTTTAATCCCAGCACTTGGGGGGCAGAGGAAGGCAAATTTCTGAGTTCGAGGCCAGTCTGGTCTACAGAGTGAGTTCCAGAACAGTCAAGGGATACAGAGAAACCCTGTCTCAAAAACAAAACAAAAAAACAAACAGCAAACACACATACACACACACAAAACAAACAAAAATAAATCAGAAAAAAAAATGTCAAGGTCATCCTTAGCAAGTGTAAGGCTAACCTGAGCTGAAATGCACTTCAAAAAAAAGAGACTCACAAACCATAGCAAATGTCTACAGGCCAGTATTATCCCCTCAACATTTCTTCCCTTCCTTCTCTCTTTCCCCCTCCCCACTGCTTAAAACACAATTTGATTTCATCCCACAAAGATGAAATCAAATCTTTCCAAGTATATTTTAGGAAAAGCTCTAGGTCAGGAGTTGGCAAATCTTGGTGGGAGGGAGGGTTCCCAGTGGAGAAAGAGGGGAGGAAGAGAGAGGGAAAAGAAAAAGAAAAGGTATAGTGGATGTTTTATTAGCTTTCTGGAGGGCACATGGTCTCTTGCTCTAACTAACCAGTCTTAATAAAATGGACTGAGGAGGAATCTTCCTTCTAGTGATTTGTAGAACAAATGAGTCAACCAAGAAAGCTAAAACCTCACTCTTTATTTTGTAGTATGTATGGGGAAAGAACTGAGAGATGGGCCAATGGTTAAAAGCAGTGGCTCACTGGCTACCCTTGCAGAGGACCTGGGATCAGTTCCTGACACCCTATGGCAGCTCACAACCATCTGTAACTGGATGGAGTTCCAGGGATGGTGGCTTCTGCTTGTCACCACAAGCACTGCATAAAAGTGGTATACACATACATACATGTAGACAAAATATTCATACACATAAAATACAAATAAATCATGTTTAAGAGCTGAAGAGGCTGGTTTATATGGAGTTTAGAAAATGAAAGTTCAAATATGGAAACTGGGCGAACTGATGAACAGCAGGAAGAGCTGCAGAGGGAAGCTTGGATGCTCTGATGTCCCTTTGGCTGAACTGGAAACACAGGGATCAGTTTCTGATTACTAATTAAATTCTTCCCAGCTCCTTCAAACTACACATTAGGACTCCTTAAAATGAAATACCTTTGTAACTAGAAGTAACACCCTTAGTAACCTTAGGTTCCTACCTCATGAGGCTTACCACCCAATGACATCCCACCTAGAGCCATCTGAATACTTTCTATCCTATATCACATATTACAACTCTACCTCCATTCAGTTAAGTTATAAAAACTCCATGCTAATGGTTCAATACAGCTTACCTGTATGTATTTTAAGGTGTGTCCGTAGGTTGCTTGGATCACTAAAAGCCTTGCTACAAAAGTCACACTTGTGGGGCTTCATGCCCATATGACCCATAAAGTGAACATGGAGCTTGGAAGGAGAGATAAAAGCCTGGGGGCACATGGAACACTTCCACTTCCTTTCCTTGCTGTGGCTTGGCCCATGGTTGCTGCTGTGGCCCTGGCCAGGGAGATGGCTATGGATGTGGCTGGTTAGATGAGCTTTGAACTCTGAATAGGAATTGCACTCTTTTCCACAATTACAGAGGTGTACATCTGGGTGCTCAGGAACACCTTTAAAAAATTAAATCAGTATCTCCTGTTATTTTAATTTCAAAATTATTGTTGACATTAATTACTAATGATTAAAAGAAATCAAAGAATCCCCCCTTCTACCAAAACGTCTTATTTGCTCACTACCTGTCAAATTAAGATGCCTTTAGTGCCATATTCCTATCATTTAAAGTAGTGTAGCAGGGCACACAAAAAGCACTTGGTAAACATGTTCTTTTTCCTGGAGAAATCATTTACATTTTGAAGTACATAGAATCTTAAACAGTCTTGTCACTGTAACACAGTGAAAAGAGAAAAAAAACACAGTAAACCAAACCCAAGGGATTTTGATAACTTTAAAGAAGTTCAAAAAAGTAGTTTTGGGGATTTATAAGCCCTGATTCAAAGTCCTACAACAAAACCTTATTTATTTGAAACAGTAACATTAACCCAGTGAAGAAAGAACTACAGATTTCTGTCACCTTGCACATAGAGCTAACAGCTTGCTTTCATAAAGCTACCATTGTAAAATCTGTCACGGGAGGTTTGTTTGTACGTCACTCTGAGATTGCCAATGGAGTTAAACCTTGATACAGAGGGTGGAGTCCACATCCCACTGGCCATAAACCAGTTTTCTGGCAGACCCAGATAGACACAGAGAGAAAGGAGGAGGGACTTGGAAACATTCTCGTGTCTTTTCAATCTGGAAAGGTAGACAAGAGGGCCAGCCAGCTGATTGTTTGTCCCTCACCCTGTCAATCTATCAGGTTCATGCCCTAATATCTGTTAATAAAACAATAAAAGTAGCTGCAATAAAAATCATTACCAAACTCTCTTCCTGGTCACTGACAGTACTGCACTAGGTGCATAACAAATCTTACAGACTTACCCATCTGTTGGGCATAATCCCGGCTATAATAGAAAAGCAGCTCATTTTCAGGAGGGATGTCTTGTGAGGTACAGAAATAGATTTTTCCATCATGGGGATAAGCCACTAAATTCTGTTCTTCACGGTTCCTACATAATCACATGAAATACATCAAGTGTAAGAGAACAAACAGATCTCATGTTGCTGAGGCTGATTGTAAACTCCTGGCCTCAATTAACTTTCCATTCAGCCTCCCAAACAGCTAGGGCTACAGGTATACACCACCATACCTGCCTAAGGATACTTTTATTCAGTGCTACGCATCAAACTAGAGCCTTGTACACACTAGACAAGCAACCCTACCAATAAGCCAGATCTCCGCCCCAAGTATAGTAATTCTGATATACACACTAAATGTGTCATGACCTCTATAGATGAATCCAGTAGGAAAGCTTAGATGAAACTATTTTCTCTATCATTTTAGTAATTCTTTATCCATTGTATTAGAGATTGTGAAGAAACCTAATTCTTACTTGGATACATAGGTGGTTATCCTTTATAATCAGAAACACCAGTCTCTTACTAGCTGCAAATGAGTAAATAAGTAGTTAGGCATGGGCAATTCACACCTGCAACCCCAGGTGAAACAGGACTGATTACAGGAGAACTGCTGCAAGTTCCAGGCCAGCCTAATGTACATAATGAGATCCTATGTCAAAACAAAAGATAAATAAAATAAAGTATTCCTGTTTGTTTTGAGACAGGGTCCCAATCTGTGTTCAAGCTAACCCAGAACTTGCTATGTAGCCCAGAGTGGCCTAGAACTTGCAGAGATCCTCCCTCCTCAGGCTCCCAAGTGCTAGGCATTGGGTATCATAGACCTGAGTCACAATGCCCATGAAATCTTAAATTTTCTTTATGACAAACATACAAAGATAGGGAGCTAATAAAATGAACTCCAATAATAGGCTGAAAAAGACCTATATGAAAAATCACTGATACGAAGAGGGATTTACTCGAAAACTCGTGGAGTATTTTATTCATCACTGCACCAGAAGCTGAAGAAAATGTCCATCAAAAAAAGACATACTCTGCTTTACAGTCACCTAGTCATCTATCATAGAATGAAATGCTGAGAAGGCTTTAATCACGTCAAGGGTGGTAACCTGTATTCTGCAGCTCTTCCCTATTTCATGTAAATCTGAATGGTAACAAGCCCTTATCTACTTGCCTCCCTTACCTACCTGGCTTTGCGCACAAACATCATCCAATTACACTCATTTTCATCAGTTGTAATGATGCAGAATTCTAGGACACCGTTATGGTGTATCTGCCAACAGAAAGCAAGCAAACATGTCAAGTGAGCTGAACCCTTTCATTAGAATGACATCACTCCTGAGTGCCTTTTGGCTAAAAAGATAAAACACAGACTATCTTTCTATTTGTCTGTCTTTATCAACACTGCCAGATGGGTACAGTAGGACTGTCTCCTAAGGGGAGAGGACCACCCCCACCCATTTTTCCAGACAGACATCAAAATTAAAGTCCCCTATGACACATTGTCTTCATGTTTCAATTTTGTACCCATCATTCCTTAAGATTCTATATAAATATGTTACTAGTAAAGCTACTGATGTCAAAATTTTATATTCCCATCAGGAAACTACAGAAATAATTGTAGCTAATTCTACAACCATTCCATAAGCCAAATATTTAAAGAATGTTTAGTTAATTAAAAATAACTTTTATGCCAGGTGTATCTTTAATCCCAACACTCAGGAGGCAGAGGCAAGTGATCTCTGAGTTTGGGGCCAGTCTGGTCTACAGAGTGAGTTCCAGGACAGCCAAAGCTACACAGAGAAACCCAAACAACAACAAAAAACCATTTATTTTGTCAACAAAGTCCATAGTCTCAGGAGTCCTAAGAAATCAAAACACATAAAATGATTCAAATTAGGGCTAAGATAGCCTAGTGGTTAAGAGCACTAGCTACTCTTGCAGAGGCTCTGCATTCAGTTCCTAGCTCCCATACGGAAGCTCATAACTGTGTCTAACTCCAGTTTCACCGGCCCTGAAACACTCTTCTGGCCTCTACAAGCACTGCACAAAGTAGTACACATAGATTCATACAAAACTCCCACACATATAAAATAAAGACAATTTTTTTAAACATTTATTTATTTATTATGTACACAGTGTTCTGTCTGCATGTATCCCTGCAGGTCAGAAGAGGGCACTAGATCCCATTACAGATGGTTGTGAGCCACCATATGGTTGCTGGGAATTGAACTCAGGACCTCTGGAAGAGCAGCCAGTGCTCTTAACCTCTGAGCCATCTTTCCAGCCCCCAAGACAAAACTTTGAAAGAGATCAAAATCACTGCATTATCTGTAAAATGAAAGCCCTACCAGTTTATCCCCTAATTTGTTCAACAGTTGGTACACTGCTGTAAAGCTTGTATACCAGAAATAAGAGGCTGTAATATAAAATAATGGACAAGTAAATGCAATCTCAGCCCTGGGTGAATTTGACTTGTCCCTTTTTAAAACTACCACAAAATAATGAAAATAACCCCAAAACATCAAGCACGGTGGCATGGCATTATCCCAACATCTGGGAAGCTGAAAAGGACTCAAGAGATAGAAGCCAGCTTGGGCTACAGCAGAGGCCAAAAGCCAGGTAAGTTTCTTCAACACTGACCTTCCAGACTTGATTAACTGCCTTGTCTGTCCACTCTGCTACTTCCATGGAGTGGCTCTGCTGACCAATTAGAGGCCCGAAGCAAGTGCGCACAGGAATGGTTTCTGCAGTCCATACACCTATCAAAGGAAGGACACCAACTACACAATGATTTAAACTACTAAGAGCACTGAGGCAGGAGCTAAACACACACAAAGATCTCACTTTCACTAAAGGTAACAATTTCTGATGTGTCAACCATTCTAGACAGCTAAGACTTGTGGCTCCAAGCCTACAATAACAGACAAATGTAGCCAAAAATATGACTCAGTGAGTGAAAGCACTTGTCCTGGAAGCCTGATGACCTGCAGCATTCCACCCACAGAACTCCACTTCCAAAAGTTGTTCTCTGACCATCACATGTGTTATCACAGCACGTGTGCACCTGTATTTGCAGACATACATGCACACGCACATCACGCACATCACACATCACACACACACACACACACACACACACACTGAAATGCAGAAAAAGCAAAATCAAATTCCTGCTGTACACACATAAAACCTATGTCCCTCCATTATTATTTGAGAATAAGCAAGAGACCACAAAAAGCAATTTATATAAAATAAATCAAGCTTCTAATCTAAAATCTCTTACGCTTAATGTATTGCATGATTATTACCTCAGCTGTGTAGTGCTTTCAAGATTCATGCCTGAGCTACGGCTGAAAATAAACCTAATTTCCTATTTTCAAAGAGATGGCACAGTAACTCGGAAGCAGTGTTAAATTGAGATACGGATAAATGTGCCTTGGTAGTCTAGATCCTTCCTAGAGTGCTACATAATTATATTTTTAAAAACTCTGCTTATCTTCTGGGGCCACAAGACTGTCAGAGGCATATTTTCCATGTTTTAATAGAAAACAAGCTTTGAGGAGCATGGTGGCATGCTAGTTGTGAGTGACAGAGCAGCTGAGAACAGAGGTCTCTAAAGACTCAGGCCAGGCTCTGGGCTTCCAGTCAGTTGACTGCAGGAGTGGCTTCGCACCTAGGTGTTCTCACCATCAGAACTCACCTAGTCCCTAAGTGTACACATTGTAAGCCACTGACTTTACATCAACTGGTCACAACTTACAACTCTAGCCCATAAGGAAAGGAGACCTGACGGAATTGTGATCTCTTCCAATATTCTTACCAATTTCTGTCCCTACAATGGACGGGCGGAGAACAAGTTGCTTGGGGAGGGACAGCCTTGCTCTGCTCTCTATTGGTGTGTCAGGAACAAAAGTCACTGGTCCATGATCAGGGCAGTCTGAGGGGTAGGCTCGGTCACAGAGAGTGCACCCTGCAGGCAGCACGTGTGAAAAGACACAGATAGGTATAGTTCACATAAACTAAGTTTCCACTTGGTACCAAATGTTAATTACTAAATCAACCAGTAAGAAGGGTCTTAATTATCAATTACACTTTTTAGAGACTTTAAAGACTAACAAATACCAAGGGGCTCCTCCCTGACCCTACTGTGTTCGCTATATTCAGAAGCTCTTCTGTACCTTTACCAGATGGTCTTATCCCACTGCCATGGCCATGATTATTACCTTTAGGTAATCCCTCCCTGAGCTCCATCAGACATCTCTACTGAGCATCTTACACACTGAACCAGTATCTAAAATGACTTATCTCTGTCCTCGCCCCACCTTTCAGCATAAGGTTTGAGTTTTCTCATGCAGGAGACCCCTTAGCCCACCTACAAGCCCTTAATGACTATTGCACAAATGTTCTACTACTTTCCTCATCTTTCTTCTGTGAGGTAAGGAAATCACCAGTCGACCAATTTCAGCATTACCTTCCTACAATACTTGCCTCAAACAAATCTAACAGCTCACATTGCATTAAAACTCCATACCAATCCTTACTCCTAAAATTCTTAGGGGTCTTAACAGCCCTGTATGTTCTGCTCCTACTTTTTTCACTAAGTAACTGGTCCCTTAGCCTCATTTTCCACTATAGCCATCTGAGCCATTCGTAATTCTTTTCATTCTAGGCACTTAACAGGTGCCAATGGCTGTCTTCCTATCAACGGCTTCCCATCTCTCCTGTCTTGAGGCCTATGCTAACACATACGCTGACCCTTCCACAGCCTAGATACCTGTTTTTCAAGCTTCTTAAGAACCATGAGCTTAATCCCATTGTGACACTTTTACTCCTACTATGTACTACAGCTGCCTGGGTTTTGTTCATGCTTCCCATCAGGATACAGTATAGACTTCCTTCAAGTCTGTACTGCTTGGAAGACTGCCCTGTCCCCTGCATCTGGCAGAGCACAACAGACAATGAGCACATCAAAGTTTCTTGCATGGCTTAAGCACAAAGTGAAACAACAAATCAACCATTTTTACTGTTTTTTGTTGCTGCCCAATAAAGAAAGAACTTTTACATGTCCAATTATAGTAACTCATACAGTCTAAGACAAATCACATCAACCTACATTTTCCATAGTTATAAAAGTGATCTAGCAACTTTTTTCTTCTGGCATAAGCTGAAAGAGCACAATGTCTATCACCAAGATTACCTGTGTTACATTTTACTCTTATAATGCTGTTTGGGAAATATCTTGCCGATTACAGAGCTATAACTTATTGGTAAAATATAGATACAACTATATTGTCTATTTACTCCAGAAAGTCAATGTAAGAACCAATAAATTAAAAAAAACAATAAATTGCACATATATTATTTGACTTGAGGAAATGGCAACAGATTAATAAAAGGATAATATGAGGCAAAGAAAAATTCCAAAGTAAGATTCCTTTCTAAACTTCCTTAACTATCACCAGACTATATCAAACACTAGTCAGGGCAATGGCATTCTAAAACCAAGACTTGTGATCTGTAGAGAGGACTCAGCAATCAGCAATTAAGAGCACCTGCTACTCTTGCAGAAGATCCAGGTTTGAGTTCCAGAACCCACACAATGGCTCACACTTTCTGTAACCCAGTTCAGGAAAACACAACACTGTCCTAGTTTCTGCAGGCACTAGCATGATACATGTACATGCAAGCAGACAAAACTCTCAAACATATATAATTTTTACAGACAAAAAGCAGTATTTCCAGGAGAGAACAGTGAAGCACACTCACAAATTGTAAACAAGGTTGCCATGTTTTCCTTGTTTGAATTGGAGTCTTCCATTTGCAGTGAAGGTGGTACAAAAGCCAAGCTGTCTGAGGAGACATCTACATGACCTGCCCCCATGGCAACCTCCTGCGTGATGGAAGAGACAGCCACAGGCTCTAGGCTTAGGCCAACTTCATGAAGAGAGACAGATTCTAGGGAGGCAAGATTGTGTGAGGTAGAGAGTGCCACGCTTACAGAGTTGGTGCTCATGGCCACCGTGTGGATGGAGTCACTGAGAGCACTGTCAGACATCCCATTGACCCGATTTGCAATGTGGTCTGTCTCCATGACCACAGGAAGCTCCAAACCATTCCCATGAATGGGGATCACCCCACCATGTCCTACAGTGTCTGCTGTAAGGCTGTTGCTCACAGAATCCACAGAGAGTGTTTCATGACTTCTGGAGCCATTTGGGATTTGTGAATGTTCTCCTGCAACACCATCCATTGTAAGCTCCTCTGCCATTCCATCTGTAGAGATTGGGCTGGTAACCCTAGAAACATTCTCCATAGTGATTGTTGTGTCCAGTGTCACTTCGTGGCCATCATTAGGATGAAGACTTTGGGCACCATGTGTGTTCACAGAGCGAGAGTCTATTGAAACAACACCTAATTCTAATCCAACATTCCCATTAGCCTGATAGGGATCTAGAGCTGAAGGACTGTTGGTGATAGACAATGCTGTATTACCATCAACATTTATAGAGTTGGGGTGGATGTACTGAGGAGGTGGTCTGTCAGCTAAATAGGATAAAATGCCTGAGAAAAGAAGAGATAGCAGATATTTAGCACACTGTTAAATATAAGAAATTTCAAGTGCTACGAACCATGTTCGTTACAAATATAGCTGAATTAAATAATCTGCTACTTTTTAAATCAATATCTATACAAGTAGTGCATATACCATTGTGAGTTTCTCTATGAAACTCAAGATCCTAAACACATGAAACTGATCTGACAAAGCCAACTAGAAACAACTTAAATGGAATCTAGTATCTATGTGGTTGCAAGTATTTGGTTCTAAGATGCTAAAATTTGCTCTGCAAAAAAATATGTAAATAAATAAGCAATAAAATGATTTAACAACTTTTGTTATAAAATTATCAAAGCAAATTAAATGATTTAAAACAAGCCTATGTCCAAAGCCATGCTTCCAAGGATGTGGGATGTTATCTGAGGTACTTTTAGTAGGAGAGTACACACTAAAACAGTGTATTATGAACCTCAAAAATGACTGTCCTGTTTTGCATAAAACGTTCCATTTATATAGCAACTTTCCCTAAATGCCTGAGTATATTCTGTAAATATACACAAAGATACTCCTAAGGACATCAACTATATAATGACAATAAAACCTGGGGAAAAAAAAAACCAAGCTGCCCAATGACAAAGACTGATGTATTAAACCATTAAATATCCATCCAGTAGGTTTGTTTTGTTTTGTTTTTTTGACAGACACAGGCTAGTCTGAATTCCTGATCTCCCTACTTCAGCCTCCCAAACGCTGGAATTACAGGGGTATGCTATGTAAAAAAAGACAATTCAGGATGTCGGGCTTGATGGCACACTCCTTTAACCCAGCACCTGGCAAAGAGGCAGGTAAGTCTCTGAGTTCAAAGCCAGCCTGGTCTACATAGTGAGTCCTTGGGCCAGCCCAGGCAACATAGTGAAGCCTATTTCAAAAAAGGACAAGAGAGGGGTTATGAAAACTATGCAGTAGCAGGGAAAATATGAAGGGAAAAAACATACACAACTGAAGAGAAATCATGGTCTTAATCATGAATAACTGTAGCCACCAGTACTCCAAAGACAGAAGTACACCAGAAAGACAAATGTGGCTTCCCTTTCTTGCCATTTGCTAAATTTTCTGAAGAGTATATATAATACTTACACAACAGATTAAAGAGTCACTTTAAGCATGACAGGTAGCTGGTAAACTTTAGAATTAAAAAAATACTGAACCAATATTCAGTAATCATAATTTCCTTTATATAAAGACTGGTGATGGGTGGCACTAGCCTTTAATCCCAGCACTCAGGAGGCCAGTCTGTTCATGACTACACAAAGAAACCCTGTCTCGAAAAATAAAAACAACAAATTCCCTGCACCATAGGGAACTGACAGATGATTCAGCAGGTAAATTACTGCTATGTAAGCCTAAAGACCTGAGTTTGAATCCCCAACGCCCTTGTAAATTCCAGGAGGGCATGGTGGTCCACCTAAAATCCCACAGATCACTGAAAAAGATGTTAACTCTAATCTCCAGAAGCTGAAGTCAGAATGGTTCCATCCCCCACTCTCCCCCACAAGAACTATAAAACTTACCAGGAAGAAGGGTTCCATCCCCCACTGCCCCCCCATAAAACTTACCAGGTAGAATAGTTCTGAAGTAACTGCTCTCTAGGTGAGGGTACGGCGGTGGAGGTAGGGTATAGTTTCTTTCAGGTAGTCCACACATCACCCCTCGATCTCCAATGCCCATGGGGAGCATCAGAGACAAGGCAGAAGGCAGAGAGCTCAGGGAGGGACCCAGATTTGGAATTGCCACTGGGAGACCTTTAAAAACAGGTTTTTTTCTTAATTAAAAGAAAACCACAGGCAAAACTCTAAAAATTTAGAGAAACAAAAGAATCTCTCCCTGGTAGCCCTTTGTAACTAACACAAGACACTATTGGGTAACATCTATAATACAACCAAACAGTCATAGTCCTCAAATTACTTCTCAAAAAGAGTCTACGTAGCCCACCTTGACCTATGAACCAGTGGAATGCTGGGATTACAAGTGTGTATGACCAAACCTGGCCCTCAAAGTAGTTTATTGTATACGTGTACACATCAGGTTATTTTTAAAGTGCTAAACTGATCCTCTAGGTGTGTTTCTCTTAAATATCTAAACAATTAACAATCTAGTTTGATTAACAGCTAAAAAATAACAGGGGGGCTGGAGAGACGGCTTAGTGTTAAGAGCACATACTGCCCCACCAGAAGACCAGAGTTCCCTTCCCAGCAACCATGTCAGTGTAACTCTAGCTCCAGGCCAGAACCTCTGCAAGGCACCTGCCCTAATTTGGGTATGCTCACACATTGAAATATTAAAAAAAAAACAACAAAAAAAAAAACAAAAACAAGACTCTTTAAGGTAAATAAGGATGAAAAACAGAAATTGGTCTACAGAGCAAGTTCCAGGACAGCCAGAGCTGTTACACAGAGAAACCCTGTCTTGAACAACCAAACAAACAAACAAACAAAAAACCTGTTCACAGGTACAGTCTCTTGTAATCAGGACATTTTTAAAGCTTTATTTAATATTCCTTTTTGTCGCTACACATTTCATTTTTAAAGCACTCAAATGCTTGGCATAGTGGAGTATTATTGTAATCCCAGTATCAGGAAAGCAGAGGCAGAAGGATTTTCAGTTTCAGCCCAGGCTGGGCAACATAGAAAAACCATGTCTAAAAATATAACAAACAAAAACAAGGTATGTTTGTACTTGGAAGCCATCAGGATTAATGTTAGATGTGGAGCTGTATGTGTTTATTTTCAACCCTTCCTCTAAATGCTGTACCTCACAAGCAAAACAGTCTGAACTTTGGCTAAATGGATTATACCCATTTTCAAAAGCTTAATAAAAGACTTTTCCTGTGCCTGAGCATCAAATGAATACCCACCAACTTAGTCAGTGCAGATTTGCATATTTTAGCCAAAGGGAGTATTTTTTAATATAACCCTCTACTAAATAAGACTGTCTCCTGAAGCATTAATCTAATGAAACCTTATCAATAAAGAATTGGGAGTCAGATATGGGGGGTAGGGAGCTGAAGGATCAGAGACCTGGAAGCAATGGCAACCACCAGTTGCTTCCTACCTGTCTCCTTCCTCCATCCAAAAGGACTAAGATACTGTCTCCACCTCCTGAGTGCTGGGATTAAAAGCATGAGCCATCACAGCCCAGTTTCTATGGTTAACTAGTAGCTAGCTCCGCCCTCTGATCTCCAGGCAAGCTTTGTCAGAACACAAATTATCACACAAGAGTCTCCTAAAAGGAATGCCTATTTGATAAACAGACAGGTTAGCATTTCTTTAAAAGACAGTTTCAAGGCCACCAGCTGGCCTTCAACTCTCATCTTCCTGCCTGTACTTGTAAATGCTGAGGTTACAGCATACTCAATTATGCTCTTTTAAGTTTCTTTTGTGGGGCCAGAGATGGCCCAGCAGCTAAAAGTATTTCCTACACTAACAAAAGACCCAGGTGCAATGTGTCTTAGCACCCACATGGTAGTTCACAACCATCTGAAACTTCATTTCCAAGGAGTCCAACTCCCTATTCTGGCCTCTTTGGGCACCAGGCACATACGTGGTACATAAAAGTACTTCTGGGTCTGCTTCAGATCATCAGTGTGGAAAGAAGTGCTGGAGTTTTCAACAAGAATCCAACAAAACACACATACCACAAAAATAGTTTTTTTATTTCTTTTAAGGTAGGAGATGCTAATTTCAATTAATCTGGCTTGGCTGCCGTATTTTACTAATTCAGGATATAATTATCTACAGAGAACTTTAAAACGCCTTTTACATGTAACTTAAAATACTAAACAAAGTCCAATACAATATTACAATGCTACTACATATTCTTAAGAATCAATAGCTTACTCATTTCTCATTTCAGCAGAAAAAGAAAACAATACTAGACAGTAAAAGGGTTTGAGAACCAGGTGTGGTAGCACACACCTGTAATCCCAGCACTTGGGCGGTGGAGCCAAGAGGATCAGGAGTTCAAGGTTACCCTGGTTATATTAACATTGGGGCCAATCCAGGCTATGGATGATCACTTCTCAAACACAAGAAAATCTCCCAACAACAAAAAAAGAGTTGATGTGTTAAGGCATGGGATAGAGAAGCGCTTCCCCATCCAATGTTTCTGCAGATGCCCATGCTCACAGGGAGTTCCACATAGAAGCTCCATCTCTCCCACCACTTTCCCATAAAACCAGGCCTTGTCCACTCCCACAGATGCTCAGTTTCCAATCTAAAGCAAGCCCAATTTCAAATGCTTTGGGAACTTAGAGGAAATGTAACTGATCCCCTTCAATAGACATGATGTCAAAGTGTCAACCAGATGAGTATGAGACAAAAGGCCCGGATAAAAAGTCAAGTCAGTATCAGTTGTGGATGAAAGAGAGTAACCCAACAGAGACTGCAGAAAAACTGCTGCTCCCATCCACTAGGATGCTGCAACTATCAAAACACTTTGCAGAGGCTGCTCACTAGTTTCTCTGTACCAGCCTAAAATGCTTTCAGAACTGAATACAATGTTCATGTGCAGTGGCTCCCACTCACCTGGGGCAGGGATAGCACTGTGAGAGGGAGAGGCAGCCAAACCCAGG